AATCACTTGTGGTAAACGTCGTTTAAGCACTGAACTCTTAACCTACTAGCACGTTATGACGAGTGGGACGCAGTGTTGTATTACCATCCATCATTTTGCCATATGGAAGGAGACATCTTGAATTCTAGTGACAGCAATACTTCCAGTTGTACTGAGAGAACTAACTAGCATGCTAGCTGGCAGCTGGCAAGAGTGTGGATGTAATAACTGCTTGTGGGGCCCTTTGACCTTCTAGCGTTAATAGGCAGCAACAAAATTTTTAAGATGGCCTTTTGTATTTATAGCCCTGGGAATAAGCAATAACTTTCAAATCACCAAATAGTCATATCTGTCTTGAATTTAATTAAAGGAAGTTTCACCACATCACATCACCACGTCTTCAGGAAAGTCAGGGTACCATGAAGTGAGAGCGATAAGTAAATTCAGCAGCCATCTGAGTAGCCATGATCCTGCAGTTTTACCACAAGTGACCCCACATGAATGAATCCAAAGATTTAAACTCTGGATTCAGCATGACATGGTCACCCAGTCAGGTTCATGAACTCCACTGGCAACAGCCTAGCAGCTGTTTTCTCAATCTGATCCAACTGTGGGCCACGCACACGATATCACTCACCATAGTGCATGTATCATCTTTGTCACATGCTCCGACTGTTGCTTGCTCATCACATGCTCTCTCATATTTTGCCTCCATTCTCCATTCCAGTCACTCAGCAAGTTTGCTCCGTCTACACCAGGCCAGCCCTGCCCAGAATAGTTGTTGGCCCACCATTTCTTTATTAACCTAAAAATGTGAATGGTAATAACATAAATTCTGGGAGAGGCTGTTGATGTGGTTATTAAGCAGGAGAGAAGTTGAAGGAGTTTTATTTATGACTGACAAATGTTTCTCTCACCTCCTCCATCACACTAGTTGAAAGAGGAGAGTGTCTTAACAGGCACGTGTGTGTGTGTGTGTGTGTGTGTGTGTGTCTGTGTGTGTGTGTCTGTGTGGGTGTGTGATATACTTAGCATCACAGTCCCATAATACTCTAAACAATTTTAACTTTGTTAATTTTGTTTCAATTTTATCTTGTTTGTGTGAAGTGAACTTTGAGAAAGCTCTTGTGAAGTGTGTCCACACACAATAATCTACAGGCTTCTCCAAATGTTATTTTGCAAACGTTTTTCAGCAAGACAAAGCATCATATTTGGAGGGGAAATATAGGCCCCTAAACATACCATATTTACAGTGAAGTTTGGACGCATCCAGTGGTGTAGTGGTAGTTGATGAGGTGGGTGTACTGCTAGGTAGATAGGTAGGTTACCCATGAGGAAGTGGGCATACTCTCCTATATTTTACAATGGCTTTTTAGCTGATAGGTGGGTATACTGTCACTGGATAGAAAAAGAACTGGGTATACCCCATATACCTGAGTATACCTTCCACTACACCACTGGACGCATGATAGTATGGGGCTGTTCCTCCTCAGCACAACCCAAATTATGAGAAAGTGAAGAGAGCCAAAATGTACCGGAAAATTCTTGAGAAGAACCTGTTGCCATTTACCAGAACGTGAGGATGAGACACAGCTGGAGTCTTATAGCAGGACAATGATCCAAAACATACCAGCAGTGGCCTACTCTTGGCTCTGCCGTAAACAGAGGAGCGAAAAACAGAAAACACTTTAATCTGTTTCCAGCCTCAACAGTGCCAGATCTTTCAGTTCCAACCGTCAAGATATTTTATTCAAAGTATTGCTATACAGGAAAATGTTTTAAAAGAAACACCTTTTAATATACCCCTACTACAATAATTACTGTTCCCCCATTTCCTAAGGCTAAAAATGGATTTTAGTTTCATTGAGCTAAAGACAGAGTGGGTGGAAAGTGAAATAGGAACCTGCACACCAGTAAGGAATCATTTTTATAAAATCTTACTGATTTCTTAAAAGATCAAAAAGATTCCATAGGAACAGGAGTTTACATCCCATGATTTCAAATTCATTTTAGGGAATAGAATTACAGATAAATTATAGGCTGCAGCTGAGATGATGACAGCGATTGTTGGTGTTTAGTGGGTGGACGAAGTGAGAACAGATAGGGTGATGCTGTGTATTGACTCTGCAGCAGTTCTTTTAAATTTACAGACTATGAAGTCAGTCAGAGGAGATGTAATTTTTTTCAAAATTTCAATATGTATTTAGAATTCAGAGATTGGGACTTGTACATTTTTGTTGACTTTTTGTTGAATAGAATATAGATTTTTCTCACTATTTCATTATTTGTTGTTTAATGTTATTATTATTATTGTCACTTATTTTATTTTTCTTGTTTTATTTTATTTCATTTCATCATTTTATTTTATTTTATTTTATTTTATTTTATTTTATTTTATTTTGTTTTGTTTTATTTTATTTTTTACAGACTAATGTAAACTGTATCCTGTTGTACATGCTCCGATACGCTAGGTGGCGGTATACACCTAAAAGTTGGTACTGCAATCCTCCGAGGAATCCGTAGAAGAAGAGGAATCCCGTTTTGTCTAATGGCGCTCCGCAGCCTGATATTTATGACTTCGCGTTAAAAAGAAATCAAGACTTTCCAGCACAACAAAGGCACACATCGAGCCACGGTTAAAGGTATTTATTGAATGTGTTATGCACTCGGAAAAAATACGAGTGGACATTAAATGTGACGGAGCTGTTAATGATAGCTCTCTTGGTAGCTAACGTTAGCTAGCTAGCAACTGAAACACCCAAAATGGCTGGTATGGAGGGTGGCCCTGTATCTCCCGATTTAAGTCATGATTTGTCCGAGTAAATGGATTATTTCATACTCAGTACACAATATGTGCGTATATATCCATGCGATTTATGGCTTCTATAGACTGTAGGCTACGTGTGCATTTAGCTGGTTTTAATTTAAATGGCATACGGGTGCTGTAGCTTCAGTCTGGTTCAGACACAGGTGTCCCAGCTACGCAGGGATTTCAACGCGACATGCAGGGACATTCGTGCAGCCGGAAACGCAGTAACGTTACTTAATGGAGTTGAATGAGCACTTGCGCGGTAGTATAACAGCTCAATTTACAATCATATCGTTGAGTTAATTGTGTGCTTTAAAAAGGGAAATGGGTACGTGTTTTCTTGTTTTCATCTAAATGTGGGTAATCTGACAAAGAGACAAGCAACCAAAAACAAGTCTTAATGCTGTCTTTCTTTTATTTCGATTTGTTGTGTTTCTCTAATGTGCTCAGTTACAAACTCTTTCTGCTCCAGCGAGGTAAGTGCAGGCTGCAGATCAGACTACAATACACACAGCGGAGAAACAATACAAAACAAATCAACAGAGGAAAAAAGAAGTAAGACTTGTCCTTTGCTTTTGGTTTCTCGTTTATTATAGATTATCCATTTCAAGATGGAAACATAATAAACAGGTATTTCTCATCCTAAAGCCTACAAAGCCTGCACCTTGTGCCATATCAATCACAGTATTAAACTTTAAATAATAATAGTAATATGTGCTGACCTAAAGTGTTCAGCCAGTGACAGAACGCTAACATGCAATTTTCTCTATGTACCTGTCAGCTTAACCAGACCATTAATGCACATGTCTGCCTATAGGGAGTGCAGCTAGATGCTGTGGTTGCTTTTATTCAACAGATTAAAAAGCATTGTGAGAAGTGAGCACTTTTTAATATAATTATATAAGATATGACGAGGCTTGTTGTTGCTTCAACTGCCTCGTTTTCTGTTGAAATATACAAATGTGTGCGATCTTTGTATTAGAGTGATTTTCTAGATGGTTAATGTGACTTTGCATTAGTGAAATTTAGGTGAAGTAGCTGTTAGAGGCATTGAAACCAAACCGACTCTTTGGAGGACTGGTTTGACATAACAATATGCCAGTTTTATAAACATGTAGCTTTACTATAACAGCATAGTAGACGCCCTTGCACCATGTTATCAGTTCTAACACTTCTGCCTTGATTTTTTTTTTTTCATTTATTTACGTTAGAAATGATATGTCAACCTGCATGTGATATAGTCTTCAGTTAAATGTTGCTTTGCTTAACTTTAACTTAGCCTATTAACCTCCTTAACCAATAATTGGTGAGATAATTAGGCAAACCAGTTTGCCCAGCATGCAAGCTCCCTTTTTTCTTAGCTAATATTTGGCAAACGGTTGCTCGGCTTGGTCTGTTTAAAGGAAACGTGTGTGTCCTCAAAGACTGGAGCTACTGTGAACAAAAATAGGTTAAATGTTTAGATCACATGGACCATCATATCTGATGATAGTCTGTGACCAAAACTGTGCAAATACATAAAACTCACCATTTTATTATTTGAGTTTTACTGGTGTTATGTAAAGAAAAGAACAGTATAGTTCACTGTTTGTGTGTTTATTTTGAATGTGTTCCAGGACATGGTAAGTGTGACCTAAAATTTATAGACATGACAATCTAGTGTTACCTGCAGGGAATATTCAGGGAAAAACTGCACTGTGTGCTTGTAGAATTGTTTCATCCTGCTGTAAACATTTTGGCAAAGAGGCATATGCCATATTTGGACACAGTCCACTGTGTTGCAATGTTGAACATGCATTGTAGGCTAGCAAGTGTTTCATTGGAAGAAGGATATTTCTTTTTCTTTTTCTGCAAGGCCCAGAACTTTAGGCTTCCTTTTAGTGTCTCTGTAGGTTAAATCCACATTTGCTGTTTTGCTTTTTCATGGTTTTCACTGATTCAATGTTGCATAATGTTGCTTTGCTTTCCTGCCCTGAAAGAAAAGCACAGTGGCCACACTTGACTACAGCAAAGAGATCTTGAGGCGGACCACATTTCTTAATGCTTTGACAAATTTAAATGGAAAGAAACCACGAGCAAAATGAAGATTGAGTCAACTTGTTTTAAAGAAAAAAAAGTGCGTGGGGGAAAAGGACTTCATCTGAAAGCTACTTGTGAAATGAAAAATTGAAACTTGTTCATCTATAATATATTTTTGCTTTCCACCTCACAGCCTCGCTGTGCACACCGACAGTAATTTGCACCTTGCTCCTACCCTTCGTTTGGAGCCCAGCGCATTCTCCGTCGCCAACACCACCAGAGGGACCCATTTCATATTTGGACCTGTGGCTGGTGCTGCTGCAGTAACAGCTCTCCGATTGGCTCAGATTGAGACTCAGGCACAGATTGCTCTTCAGCAGCTTGCAACTCTAGCGACAATAACTGTTGGCAGCCAGTGTCACAACAACGGATTTGCAGCCACATTACCTCCTCACCTGGCTCTCCTGAATCTTCTCAATAGACAACAGGTGTCAGCTGTTGGATTTAACTTGGACACAAACAGCAAAACTTACACAAACACACAACAGAGTCTTTGTGCTGCCATGTACCACCACCACTCCCAGCAACAAGGGCCACAGCCTTTCTCTAATGGGCCCAGGCCTCCACATCATCAGCCACCTCCAAATCAACATCAGAATCGCTCTCCCTCAAATATGCTGTCGCAGGCGATGGGTTTCCAGTTTCCTCGTCCCACCCAGCTCCCTGATGAGCTAGAGTCCGCCCTGGCTATCCGGGGTGGTAGGGACATTGATCACCGCCTCATTGACCACATGAACCGACCGAACCAACACCAGAACCAAGGCTCAGGTTCTGGGATCAGTCAACATGGAAACTATGGCCCACACTCCTCCGACAATCAGCCTGGCCACCAGCAAGGAGTAGATTGGTCCAACTACCAACCTCCAACTAAACTGTTTGCTAGTCCTCCACCCAGTGCTAGCCACCAGTCTCAACGACACCAAGGGCCTCAAAAGCAGCCACAGAGCAGTCATGCTGGAACAAGCTGGACTGCCCCTGTAAGTGACTCACCATCACCCCAAGCCCGGCACCCCCACGGTGGCGGAGGTGGCAGCAGTGGGGATGGTCAGGCTTTGTACACACCAGAGAGTGCAGGAAGCATCTTGGCTAGTTTTGGACTTTCAAATGAGGACTTAGAAGTGCTGAGTCACTACCCCGATGATCAGCTAACCCCAGATACTTTGCCATTCATACTCCGTGACATCCAGATCAACAAGTCTGGCAACCCAAAAACTGTGGGTTCCACTTCCTCATCCTCATTTCCACGCTCTTCGCCATTGGCCCGTTCACACTCGCCAGAAGTGCCCAGCCTTCTTACTGTTACACAGACAGCGGGTAAAGTCATTGACTATGGCCACGCCAGTCGGGCAAAGGATGAGAGCAATAGTACCAGAGAGACTTTCAAAAGAGAGCCGCTCCCCAGTGAAAGGACAGTTAAAATGTATCCATCCTCGTCGTCCTCATCAGCTCCAAAAGTCGAGAAAACTGAAAGGCGGCAGGTTCGTTTGGAACACAGTGAATCAGGCAAGCATGGAGACCGGGACTATCGCAGGTCAAATAGTGATCATCGCAGGAGCAGTCGGTCACCTGGGAGAGAATTTCCACCAGCATCGAAATCTCGTAATCTGGACCGAGACTACAGGCGTGAGGGACCCAAACCCAGGCCCCCATCTGAAACCGGGAGCGAATCTTCTTCGAGGCGGTCTCTCTCTTCTTCGTCTGGCTCAAAACCATACGGCAGCAACAAGAAGTTACCTACGCCCACCATGATAAGTGATTTCTCAGCTGTGTCTCCCAAGGTGTATCCCCATACCTGCTCCCTGTGCCACACACAGTGTGATGAGGAAAAGGTGAGTGCCAACATGCCCTCGTACCAATGTCTGAAAGGAATCCCTTCAAATTATTAATTTTAGTCTGCAGCCTAAGAGATGAGAGTGATGCCGATGTTATTCAAGTGGTGTTTTGCGGGCTTTGTAATCATCATTGAAAAAAGTAGGTACAGTTGCTCTAAATGATCAAGTTAGCATGCAGCTGGCAAAAACCCATGGTTTTGAATAATTAATGCACTATGCAAGCATACTCTTGTTTCCTTGGAAAGCATTAAAACAGATATTTGTAGCACTGTATGTGACCACCATCATGTTGAAAGCTATAGCCAGTGCTGAAGTGACTTTAGATGCAGCACTGCTAATTGCTGCTAAGGTGGCAGCTTTAAAAACACTTGATTTCACTTCTTCTCATATTTGTTTTGTTCTTAGTGGAATAGTGATTATATTGACATTTTTTACATGCACAAAATATTCCAGTTTTTGCCCTTATTCCAAAAAAAGACAGTATTCCTACACCTAGTTTTTTGGTTATGTGGCTGATAAAAATATTAAATTATTAATTATATGAAATATTTCACTCATATTTCTGTTTACATGCAGCTGTGAATATTCCAATTATCGTGCCCTAACGTCATTTATCACATCAAAATATGGAAAAGTTTTGCATCTTTGCATCAAAATAGGATTTCTTTCCAAGGTTTTCCACCGTATTTTTTGACTGTATTTGAAATCATACCATCAGGATTTCTAAAAACCAACCCAAGCCTAGTCATAATTGTAAAAATCCTAATTATATCCAAACTGAATATGCTGTTTACAAGGCTCCTATCAAATCAGAATATTGTCATATTTAGGAATAGCAGTGGAATATTACTGTGCATGTAAACGTGTAACATTAAGAACGAGTACGATATGGGGTGTGATTGACAGTGACTGACAACAGATGTGGGGGTTGCCATGTGCTCATCCCACCGCAGCTCCACCCAGGCTTTCTTTCCCCAAGTTAGGATGTTCTGACTTGCCCTCAGAAACCCGAGGATGATGTCACAGACACTACAGCCATGTTTGTCAAAAAAACAGCTGTCTGGTGAAGTAGAAAGACTTGAGTTTTAACTGCAAAGGTGTCCCGGGATAAAAAAGGCCAGAGGAGGCCCCATTTATTTGAGCCACCACGTTTGTCCAGGTATTAAATAATACAACTTTGGAACTATGTTTTTCAAATACTACAGTTTCCCAATTAGAAGTTACATGTGCAAGCAATTAAACTTTTTCCATATAACCTCGAGAGGTTTGTGCAGAGGAGAAAAACATACTAGGGCTGTTTTGCTTAATAAATGAATGTCAGTCAGCAAACCTAAATGTATCAAGAAATAATAGGAGAACATATTTGTTACGTACTTGACCAGTCTACAATTTCCAGGAAATGTTCAGTGAAGAACTTAGGCCATTGTATAAATTGCAGTTAAATTAAAAAGTTATTGTACTTAAGCTACATACTTATATATTTATTATTGGACAATGTCTATGAGATACAATAATCATTATTAACTATTTGGACAAATGGTTAATTATTAAATTGGTGTAAAGTGATAAAGGGAATTTTCAGGCATAATAGAAATATTTCCTTAGTTCAACAATAATTACTGTTGAATAAACTCCTTTTGCGCTCTGAGAAAATCCAGTACTCTGGTCTCTGGTTTTGGGATGGAGTTTCTTGTGTTCTCAAATGGTGTTGTTATCGACTGTAAGGAGGTACAATTCTTCACTGTTGTAACAGTAATTACTTGTAGTCGAGTGTGACTGTCTTCATTTCTTAGGTATGCTAAATGTGGGATTTTTAGAGATCTGGTACATTTCGAGACAAGCAATGTGATTGTCTTTCATCTTACATTTTCTGAATAAAAGATGAATTTTTTATAGATCATAGATTGAGATTATAGATTTCATAGTTTCCCCAAATTTACAAAAAATGTCATCAGCAAAACAAAGGTTATCGTCTGATGAATTAACAGTCCCTGAATTATCCATCAGTTGCATGTAATGATCTGCAGAATGTGATGTGGTCTTTGTCAAAATGACTGTAAGGTTTTTAGGTTTCCAACTTAGCCTGTTGGTTTAATCTTATTATTGTAGACTTGTTAAACTTGTTGAACAAAGGGTTTTTTTTTGTTTGTTTGTTTTTATTTTGAACTAAATTGCCATATCCCACACACTGTAGGAATTAGCACATAGGCAACATATTGGTGGATGAGCAAATTTTGGTGTAACTTAGTAAGTTAATCGAAAAGTGTTTACAATAAGAAGACTTAAAACAATTTGTTTTTGTTTCTGCTAGTGATACATAGTGTGTTAATGGTGAAGTTTGATAGTCACACTGAAGACAATTGAAAGTAGAATTGACACAGAACATGTCTACGCAGGGCACGAATGATCTGGTACTCAAGACCAAGCATTGTGTTGTATTTCTGGTAGCAGCTGTAACAAAATTTGAACATAAAAATTGATAATATGCAATAAAAGAACTGGGCCTCAACTTTCAGTATGGTAAAAAATGACCTCATGGAACAAAGGTCCACTTAATCTTTTGCCACAATACTTAAGTCTCTCACTTGAGATAAATGAGTTATCCGATTGCTTAGATTTCTTCTCTTCATTCGTGTGAAATGTGAAGCTAGCGTTGTTAAAGATTGTTTTTATTTGTGTTTGATTTGGATGTCTTCCTCTCCCATTTGTCATTTTTCTTCAGGACTGGGTTGACCATATAAACACCGTCAACCACACAGCTGCCTGCAGAGACCTGCGCAACAAGTGAGAACATTTTTTAATGCGCTGCTGAAGCTGCATCTCCAGTTTATCTTCAGTATTATGTTATAGCACCATAGACAAGTATAAAACAGTATAAACAGTCAAAAAGTATTCAATATGAGAAGAAAATCAAAGGTGTACAAAGTAATTTTGATAACAGTAAAACAAGCACTTGGAAACACAGCCCAGGGATGTTTTTGGCTTACTGAGTGCTTACTTCTAATGTGTTGGCAAACAGCTGCGTACTTACACATTCATGTGACACAGATAACCATGAGTGTTCACTGAATTTGTACAGGGTGTACCTAAGTTCAATATTAACTTGCCTTATTGCCCTGGATTAGCCATCTAGATTCAGAAAGAAAACATCCTGGCTCTTTAGCTTGATAGATGCTTGATCCTCTTCATGAACCATGTATTTACTTTGGGCGTTTAATGCAGCTTCCGATAAGCTTGTTTTTGGGGAAACAGCTGCCTGTTTGTTTTGGGGAATTGGCGTGATAGTATGAGTCAGTCATACAGCTGATGTGCAGACTGCAGAACCAAAACAAGCTTGACGACAGCTAAATCTGGATAGAGCTACAGAGTAAGGCCCAGATCAGACAGAGTGTGTTTTAGGTGCATGGATTGGCTTTTTGTAATCATTTTCAGTGAGAGTGAAGTATTTTGCTCACTTGCCTTGCATTTTTTCAGGCACTTCGCATTTTTGCAAAAGCGCCCTGCATGTCTCGGGTTGAAAAGAACTTAAACTCAAGGCACCCAGAGTCATGGAGGGTTTTTTTCCCCCCATTGTTTAATCGGATGAATTGAGAGGCAGGCCCTCAGTGGTGGCCATGACAATAAGTGGTAGCGTACATGGTTTGCATTAAGCTAACGTTAGCTCACTTTTAATGTTGCCCCACTTGGCAAGCTGCGAGACATATCTGAGCACATTTTAGCCTTAACTACTTTATAACAATTTGCCAACCATAATCAGGCCCGTTGATTGACAGCAGATAGACAAACTGTCCCTGACTCATCCTTAAATAAGCCTTAATCCGACCATCGTCTAGACAGGCCGGGACCTGCTGACAGTACTGCCTGTGATTTCTCTTTCAGAGGATCTCTTTAACCCACAAAGATCTGGGTTTCTCCCTGTCCAGCATACTATTTGGGAACCCCTCTTACCATCACCATCAGTTACAGCCACACCAAGTGACCTCTGCCTGTCCCTTTTTTTAATGTGGATTTCAATCTACAGACCTGTGCAACCTGCAACATGCGCTCTGTCTGATGGGGCCCCAGGTTTTAATTCTGAGTGGGCCTGGTATTACAAAGGACCATTTGACATTACACTGAATATCATTAAACTTATTGCTCAATGCAGATTGCACTTGGTGTTTCTTTTCAAGTACAAGTTTAGGAGTAAGAAGATGTTGAAGGTCACTCTAACGAGTGTTTGTGTGTGTCTCTGAAGGTACCCTCACTGGAAACCAAATCTACCAAGGTTAGTTGGACTCTTGTTCTTATGTTTCTCTGTTGTTAGCTGTGACCAGCAGCCATTGGGAGTCAGTCCTGTCACTAAGCAAGGCCCACACATTCAGATGGCTTGCTTATGCATATACAACCAATCTGACACAGCTCTTACAAAACAGTTTTGTTGGGTATCCATTTGAAAATAGCTCTACTTAATGTTTTAGATGTCATTTATAATTTAGGCTATAGTATGGAAGTATAGTTAATGTTGATGTTGTAAAGCAGAAAATATTGACATAAAGTGGGCACTTAGTACATAGCAAGTTGTTTTCACAACAGTTTTAAGCAGTTGTTTGGCAAATGTTTTAGAATCCTGGAACCATAACCTGCCATGTTGCAAGACATAACACTGTAATGTGTAAATATAGGCCTTTGGGCTACCATATGTCACAGTCTACTTTAACTTCACTGGTTATGTCTGCTAATGAATGTTTTCTTTTATCCAGTCGCAGTGGAAGATACGGCAGCCGGGCTCTGTGGGATCCCAGGGATCAGTCTCCATCTCACACTGTGTCTCGATCCCTCTCTTCTTCTCCTCCCCCGAGTCCTTCTCACAGCAGACACAGGGTGGGCCCCCATTCCCGTAGGCCCCCCATTCCCGTAGGCCGCGCTCTTCACCATCAACCTCGCCACCAATACTACACAGGTAGGTCACATGCTAGAGAGTAGAGAATAGGCCCGCTCTTGAGGCATGATTTCTGGCATGGCTTCCCATGCACAGTGCATTCTCCCTGCACATGTGCACACAGTCAACACTACTATCGACACTACTGTACTGTCTGAGCCAAATGACTCCGTAAGTTTTGATTGGCTGAAGTCTGAATATGTTGTAATTTTATGACTAGTTTACAGATACAGCAAACATTGTGAGAAAGAAGTGCATAACATGCAGCAAAAGTCTCTGTTTGAAATCAAACCACACATGTTGCAGCAATGTTGAATGCATCTCTGTGTTTCCAAAAGTAAACTGCATATCCTGGTTTTATATATATTGTATTTGTGAATTTTTCTTCCACCATTTCTTTTTGCTCTTCTGTACTCCTGATTCATGGCGTGTCTACAGGGGGTGCCTCTCGTAGCGGTTTGAAGCGTCCACATGATGATTCAACCAAGTTCTCCCATGACACCAGCCGACATCCATCCTTGTCTAAGGCAGGTCATGGCACCAGACATGGTCCTTTACAGTCCTCCACCAAAACTTTCAAGAGCGGGACGAAGCCTGGGACCAAGACGACTAAGATGGCAAGTGCCAAGGCTGCTGACACAGTGCGTGTCCTTCACTAAAGTTGTTTTTCACAACCACAGAAACACCTGCTAGTGTGTCTTTAATTAAATATGTTCATATAGCAGCTTTACAGCAGTTAGATGACTCAAAACTAGTGTTTACACCATTCTGTTCTCAAGTGTTTATGTTATTGAAGCTTATGGATGCTAAAGGCTGATTTCAGGCACAATGCTAGAAATAATTCAGTTCTAGTGGCTTGACAAGTTGACACTGAATTATGCTAATTTTACGAAATGAGCAGGTTTTTCTTCAGCTGCTTCAGTATTTTCTCAAACTCATCCACACTGTCATTGTAAATTAAACAAGTAACAGTTTAGTATGTGATTAAAGTAGTAAAAACTTGAATTGATTTGCTTCTGGTTCTCTTAAACTTGATTCCTCCTAAAACTAACCTGCAGTTATTGCTGTTGGTTTCTAGTCTGCCAAGCCTCCACCAGCCAAGAAGAAGAAGAAGGTGGTGACCCCAGCCTCCCAGGTCTGGTCCGTTGCAGAGCGTCTGGTATATCTGACAGGCATCCCAAAAGATGCGTCAGAGCAGGAAGTTACCGACTTGGTGGGGTCCTTTGGCAAGATCAATAATGTGATCCTCATGCCATGCTCCGAGGAAGAGAGCGAGAAGTGCGAAGGGCAAAAGGTAATATTTACATGTAACATGTGTTTACCCTAGTTGTGTTTACTTTTGCAAGAAAGGATTTTTTTTTTTTGGATTCTTAGAGAACAGTTTAAACTTAAAAAATATTGAATAGTAGACAATCAGTATTTTTAACTGTTTTAAAGGCAAGATTGTTTTTGTTCATTCAGTCATTACTTTCAGCTGATATGCTGACATGTAGCAGTAGTACAAATAACTCTGATAGTTGAAGTGTAGTCACAGTCTGTTGATGACAAAGCTGCTTTTATGTCTCTGTTGCAGTTTGCTCATTTAGTGAAATTACAGCAAAAAGAAGCAGTATATTCAATTTGATCATTTCTTTGAAAAGGATTAGGTTTAATATGTTTTCATTGTTAGCCCGGCTTGTGGTGCTAAAATTTATTAGTTAACAATGCTAGAGGAGTTTGGGGGCTCAAAATGAAGCTGCTTGCTCACCGGGGCAACATGAGGGGAGACTGAAGGGTGCCACCAGGTCTCTGCAGCAGTGTCGTCCCAAAACATCAATCACAGAATGAGTGGCAGCACTAGCTAGCTCTCATCCAAACTCACTTGCGCAAAGTGCAGAGCAGCCAAGGCTACCTAACCAGTTGAGACCAGAGGGTGGGCATTGGACACTATGTTTGTGCATTTTAACATAGGTAGCTGGCTGTAGCAGCAAAGCCAACAGAAAAACTGAAAATAAAATAAAAAGCAACACAATTACATTAGAAAACATTGCACCATATTAAAAGACAAAAGCTCCCCCTGTTTCATTTCATTTTGTGTTTTTTATTCTAACAAATTAAGTAGTTTGTTACACGTGTCGGGCTGCCAAAAGCAAAATTAACAGAAACTGACATCCTCAGTGTGACAGTTTACTGTGTTTGTGTTGCAGAGCATCATAATGGTCTCTGTCTGTCCCACATTATAACTTTGTCACCCCCTCTTGTTGCAGGCATCTGTATGCATGTTGAGGGCTGAAGACGCCCAGGCTCTGGCTAACTCCACCAATCTCTCCATCAAAGACCAACAAATCACTGCTTCAGTAGCCAAGGTACCACGTGGAAAACACATGCATGTGGATTGATCGTGTATCCAAAACCCTTTGATACATAAATATCATGACGCTTGCACCAATAACAGCAGACTGACATTTTATTTTTGCCTCTGTAAAGAGGAATTTTTTGATACAGAAACTGTTTGGACCACATGCATGTAATCTCATGAACACTTTCAGTAAACACATTCTATTTATTTGTTTTAGAAACCTGAAGCAGGGCAGTCTTTGGATGCTAACAGCAGGTTTGTCACCGGTATCATCTCAAACATTTTCCTTTTTAATCCCCAAGTGCTGCACACTCACCCGCCAATTTCCAAACTGCTCCAGTTAGACTCAGCTAACAGTATTTCTGTCTTCACAGCAAACCTGCTCCAGGAGCAGACAAAGATGCTGCTGGGGAAGACTTGGGTAAGAAAACAAGAAAACAGCTGCAATACAGATATTCAATACTGTACAAGAAATCCTTTTGATATCAACTGTTACCATATCTAAAACTAAGGCTCACGTAGTCCGGTTTATGATGGCATGTGATGTTAAAAACATATTAATTGTAGCTCTGTTTGCACCTTGGCTTCTCGTCCCCTCCTCTAACTCCCCACTGCAGGAGGTGAGGCTGACCAGAAGACTTCTGATGAGGTACATGATGCATGTAGTGCTCACACACTATAAAATATACATAACAACATTGTGAAAAGAGCTGGTATTTTCACTTAATCCTGGGGCTCAACTGTCTGTTTAAATTCCAGCTTTATCACAAATAATAAAATGTCACTATTAATGTGTTTTACATCCTAATACAATGTCTCCTACAGAAGGGCACGGTGTTGATCGCAGGACTTCCTGAGAGCGACTGGTCAGAAAGTGATATCATCAAGCTGGTGCAGCCCTTTGGGACTCCCTCTGACATCATCCTGGCAACACAAAACGGAAAGGTTGGTATAAACACAGTTGCATCTGAAGCTTTTACACTTTAGTCTATAAAAATTGAGGATATAAAAAACAGTCTAAATGAACTTAAAAGTCAAGTAAAATCAGGAAGGGCTCTTCAATATAAGTATGTTTTAAGAAGGGACCGTTCCAGAGCCTTGGGGCCCTGAAAGTAAACACTCTTTCCCCTTAAGTTTTTAACTGGGCTTCTGAAACAGACAGAAGACCTTTGCTCGTGGACCTCAAAGTATGTCCTGGTGTTCACAGCACTAAGAGGTCAGAGATATAGCTGGGAGAGCTATAATCTATTCTAAAACATACTGGGAGCCAGTGTAAAGAGGCTAAAACTGGAGTGATTGTACAAGAAGATAATGTAAGTCCTGAGTACGTTCTTGCAAGATACTTGGCCTTCTCTTTTCATTGAGGGCTACAAACCAGGTGTTCAATGGAATAGTCAAAATGAATAATCATGAATACCCACAACACAGTACAAAACAAAATATTGTGTGTCCTATGTCTACAGAATCTGTGCATAATATTTTTGCATGTTTTTCAGGTTGTTGTTATTATGTGGCCTGCTGACCATTTTAAAATTGGAATTTATACATATATATTTTTTGTACTCTGAATGTAAATAAGGTGCCAGAGTTCACAAAAGAGCATCAACATAGAGCTTGCTTATCAAAATCTGTTTTAGGGGAGGATCCCCAGGACTCCCGACAGAGGTCTGAGCTAAATATTTATATATTAATTACTAATGTTTGATTATTATGTGGCCCCTGGACTCCTGACATGTTGCCAAAGGGGAAAACAAGTTGGGTATCTCTCTCTCAGTGACCGTTTCCTGTGACAGTATATGTTTGTTGAAAAACACTGAGTTGATAAGATGTTCCAACAGCACAATATTAAAACATTCTTTGCATGTTAGGCACTTGTGTCAGTGCCAGACACGGAGATTGCTCAAGAGATGGTGAAAGTCCACTCCTTCATGCCCATGAAGATGAACGACTCTGAGCTGAAGCTGGTCCACGTCAAACAGCGCGTCGGTCTCAGCACACCGGTAGGTCTCTCATCAATAATGCAGTTCACCACGACAGTATATTGATCATTTCGTCTGCTCTGTTTCTGTCTGGTGTTCTTTGTCCATTATCTTACTTTTGATATTGTATTGTGTTGAACAATGAACAATAACTGTCATTATTACTTCACGCAGGTGGCTCTCTACAATCTTCTGATGGGATCAGCCGAACCACTGGTGAGTATTTCTGTGAATAATTATTCAGCTGTGTTTTGTTCACGTGATGGAGTGTGCTCAGGTTATTTATGTACTGCTTTGCTAAAGCAGCGTGAAGCTTTGGGCGGCACTCTTTAGATTTAGATAAGCAAAGACTCTCTTGGAGTGTGTGTTGTGTAGTGATCTGCGCAGTACTTCAGAAAAACAGTAAATTTAGCAAACATCAATATTTGACATGCCTATCATAGAATTTTTTCAGGGATTTAAGTTGCTGTGAAACTCATTTATTCACGTAAATGAATTCATCTGACTAACTTAAATAGTTTGTATACTTTGAACTGATTTACTGTGACACTGTTGGACTGTTGACGAATGAGTGACAGAATGTTTCTTTCCATCCTGCAGGAGAATGCTGTTCCAGTAGGCTGGAGCTGCCTGTTGGTGATCAATAATGTTCCCAACACACCGTCTGCCTCCTCTGAGGTCCAAAAATTGGTGCGGCGCTTTGGTACCGTCATCAAGACCCTCGTGCTCAACAACATGGTGAGAGCTAGTTGTCTGTGCAGCTGCAAACATGCTAATCCATTATATCCTGAAACTTCCCTGCTCTCATTCAGAGCTATGGCCTGGGTTGGAAATCCATTTTCTCCAACTCTGTCATGTCTCACTTCTCTATTTATAAATTGTGTGTCTCTCCCTGCTCAGGTGGTCTGTGAGATGGCGACTGCAGCTATGGCCTTGTCTGTCTACAAACGCTTCCAGACATTTCCGTGCATCATCCAGAACAACCCTCTGTTCTTCTCCCGCAAGCCTGACCCCAAAGCCAACACACAGACCAAAGTCATCGCTGCATATCTTGATTCATCTGAGGTTGGTGCCGACTGATTTGCAACAGTTGTCAGGAGTTATGGGACATCCGTTTAGGCACAGTTTTATCTACTACTGGGATACATTCCTGTAGCTTTAACTCATATGTAAAAAAAAAATTCTGAATGCATTGATCTGACACATCAATACCTCCTTGTCTCTGATCGCAGGATGCACCTGCAAATGGCAAAGGCAGCCAAGCAGCAGCTGCAGACGAAGAGGAGACAGCACATAAAGAGAATTCCGATCCTCCATTGGAGGGGATTGAAAAAGACGGTGATGAGAAGGAGGAGAAGAGCCCAGAGAGGACAGTTGGTGAAAACAACGCTTTGGGAGAAGACCAGAGTAAAGAGGAAGAAATTCAAAAAGAGGAGCTCACTGATGCTCCTTCTGACACTTTGGCCGCACCGGATGCCAAACTAGAAGCAGATCCGGAGACAGACATGAAAGAAAAATCAGATGTTGAAACTGAAATGGAGACTGCAGAGGAGAACAAAGTGCCCACAGGAGGAAATGATGAGACTCCTGCCGGTGAAGAAACAAAGCCATCTTGCTCTGATGGTGAAACAGCCTCCCAGGAGATGGTCATGCCGGCGCTCCCTAAGGTAAAATATCCTAAAACTGTCACTCTGCTCCTGTTGTTGGAGCCAGACTGTGTAGCTAAGGTCAGAAACCTCAAACATAATTGATATTTGTGACTTCTGACATCTTTTTATCCCTTTTTTTCTACAGGTTACTCAAGAGATGGTCAACGCACTGCTTGTGGAGTGCCGAACAAGAACCGCCAGCAATTCCAACAACGCAGCAGCGTCCACCAATGGAGACCAGGGGAAAACGCAAGTGGATACAGAGCAGGGTGAAAAGACAGCAGAGGAAAAAAAGGAGCCAGTCAAGAACCACAAAGAGGTGGAGGTGAAGAAGCAGGAGAGGGAGCGAAAAGAGAGGGAGGCAAGAAAAGAGAAGGAGACAAGGGAGAAAGAGCGGAAGGAGAGGGAGAGGGAGCGGAGGGCCTGGGAGAAGGAGGAGAGGACCAGGCGTGACAGGGAGCGAGATGAAAGAAACAGGAGGGACAGGGAGAAGAGAGAGGAGGAGAGGAGGGAAAGAGAGAGGAGGGACAGGAAGAGAGCACACCGCGAGGGTTCGTCAGGGTCACGGTCGTCCTTCAGGTCGGATGGACACAGACACAGCTCCTGGAGGGATGAGCATTCTAACAACTCAGAAGCGGAGAACAAAATGGTGAGAAGACAGTCAGGTTGAGAAGTGACAAATTAGAAGTTAAATCTCTCCTTATTCTTATCCCATTTTTTTTTGTCCTGTCATGCATTCAGGCGGAGGGGGAGGAGGAGTGTGATGACTTCCCGTTCAACATGAGTGACTTTGTGACGGTAGATGAAGTTGGAGATGTGAACGACCTTCCTTCCCCTGCTGCTTCCTCTGTTCCCATGGAAACCACAGAGGAAGTGAAGGACGCTCCCTCATCTGTCCAACAGGACACTCCAGAGGTATCACATATAACTTATTCTCTACATGGCCATTACAGTGTAGGGGCCCTAAATTTCCACAATGTAATGACATCATGGTCCTCATCCTGTTTTCTTTTCTAGGAGACGCCCATGGAGGTTACCGCGGAAACAGCATCAGACACCACAGCAACCCTGGTGCAGGCTGATGAGCACGTTTCAGAGTCTGAAGCTGAGAATGTGCTAACAGCTGAGACTGCAGATGATGCTATGTCATCAGATTTATCATCCGGTCCCATCATCATCGCTGTAGCATCCCTCTCACAGGATTTACAGGCCGACGCCAGCCAAACATACATGCCAACATATCAAGCACCTGAGACTGAGATCACACCTGAGACAGATACAGTGTTACCTGAGACAGGTAGAAACTCACACTGATTTAATCTAATTGCCAAGTGAAGGAAACACCATATTAGATTTTTTTTTCTTTAGGTTTGTGTAATAAATTTTGGCCTAAAATTTGCCATTACCTTTTAGAAGCCACGCTGACAGCCATTGTGGACTCCACCACTGAGGATGAACCCCTTCCTGCACCTGCTCCTGAAGCTGCAGCTGTCCCAGCTGACTCCTCCTCAAACAGCACAGCACCAGGAGCAGTGACTTCAGAGAATGAGAAGGATGAGACAGAGGACAGTGCTCTCAATCACGATCAGGCTAAGAAGGAGGAGATGGTGCCAGACAAAACAGAGGAGCAGGAGAAGATGCAGGATGAAGAGGACAAAGAGACGGCAGCTCCTGCTGTGCAGACAGGTATTATCATGGTGTTGTTTAAGTGTGCTGAATACGTTCAAAAAGTACTGATACACAAACGCTAATACACTGAAACCACAAATAAAATTAGCAGCACAAACACAAATTCACTCTCAGTGAAGACAGAGCAGGTTATCTGGATAAGCTCACTGAGTAAAACTAGCACCAGGTCTTTCCCCATCAGTCCCTGTTCCACGTTTTAAAGAGGTCTCTGTCGCTCACAGGAAACCCTGAGAGGCCTGAGGATCAAACAAACACCAAAGAGGAGTGTGTGAGCAAAGAATCCTCTCTTCCTCCTTTTGACCCCAGCCACCCAGTTGGTAAGAATAATCACTATCTGCCATTGTGTTTTCACAGTTGTGTTCATCTGTGTTTTACATGTTTTTTTCACAATATCTGACTTTGCTGATAGAGTTCATGTCGTGTGTGTGTGTATGTGTGTGTCCACAGGTATGGAGTACTTGGTCCCAAAGACAGGTTTCTTCTGCAAGGTGTGTAACAGGTTCTTTACCGGAGCCAAAGAGGCAGAGATCAACCACTGCAAAACCCTTAAACACTACGAGAACCTGCAGGTAAGCAACACACACACAGTTTTATCTGTGGGTGCACTGTGAAGATGAAATTTTCTGTAGCTTTCTCCTCTTCTCCACAACAACAGGCCCATTACAGATTCTGATTGTGTCTGCAATTAATTAATTATATGTTTTGGGAAGACCGAAGTCAGAAGGTTTTATGGTTTTAACCCAAAGTAGAATTAGCATGTGCAATCAAAATCATAGCCATAGAGCTCCCCCAGTCACCAGCCAGCTTGCCTGCATTTTGAGTCCTGCTGTGACAGCCTTGTCGTGAGGCATCGACAGAGATATTGGAATGTAGCCCTGGAAGTACTAAACTTTTAGAGGAACTATTCCTCCTTGAAATCCTCCACATTGTGGCCCCAGAAATCTCTACTCCCCTCGCACCCATGCCTCTCCCTCCAGAGAACTACCAGCAACACCGGCTTATAGAGCTTTAACTTACCTTTTGCAAATTAGAATTGAGCATTAAGCCCTGTAATGTGAATGTAGCCTTACAGAAGTCAGTATCTCCAGACATTTGTTTGGTCACGAAGAGGCAACAATATTCACATCTAATCCAGTCTCCTTGTTCATTCTTTTGCAGAAATACTTGCAGACAACAAAGACAGCGAACGTCACTGCTAAGCCCGACTCCACCTGAATGCAGTTATGAAAATCCAGACTGAATTCACCATTCCCCTCCTTTTGTTTTGTCTCTTCATTTCTCACACAGGGTCCAGATTCTCACACTGATGTAGATTAGTCCCACGTTCCGTCTCAGTTTGAATATGTGCTGTAGATTTTTCATGTGCAATTAATTAAGAGAAATGAGTTTGTGTACAGTGGAAGGTGGCTGTCGGTAAGAAGTGTGCACAATCAATAAAATGTTTGTACTAAATTGTTTGTCTTCACTCACTTACAGTGTTATGTGCTGCGTGCTCAGATAGCGTGGAGTTAAAGGCACAGTTGTGGCATCAGCAGCTGTTTTGACAGGCTTCATTCACCTTCTGTTTTACTGCAAACTACCTCCAGTTAAGTTAAATGATGGAAACTTCTAATGTAACCAGTGGCTTTAGGTTTCCCTTTTGTTCACAGTGACATTTGTTGAGTTTATGTTTACACATTGAGGCTTAGTTTCTCTTGTTTCTTTGGTGTTCTGCTGCTGTGCATCACTGAAAGCAGTTTTTCTAATGTAACTGTTTCTATTTAAAGAGTAATTTAATACTGCATCCACTTTTTTTAAACATAAATAAAATATGTATGCAGCAGCTATCAGTAGATTCTGGTCTAATTCTGTAGTACGTATGCATAAACTAATACAAGTTCGTCGAGCTACCAGAGATCAGAAGAAGGGAGTTACTGACTGAGTTTAGTGTAAGTGGGTGACGTGTAAGAGGGTAATTATCTTAAGTAGTTCAAAAGTAATGGTTTGAGGGATGAAGCTGTTGCAAAACCTGGCTGTTCTGCTCCTGATGCTGTGGTACCACTTGCCAGAGGCCAGCAGGGAGAACAGTCCATGGTGGGGGTGGGTGCATGTGTCAGGCAGCGTTTGTGTTCAAAGTCCTGGATGAAGGGAAGAGAGGTTCCTTAATCTTCACATGTAACACCTGTGCTGTTCTCTGAAGTTAAGTGTTATCAAACCACCTCCACACAACTGAAGCTCTTCCATTTTTTTCAAAGCTAATTCCTCCAGTGAAGCCAGCAACTAGGTTACAATGACAGTGTCTCCCCTAAGGCCTTAAACCCTGAACCCTCAGGGTCTGAACTGACACCACCTAACAAATGTTTGCGTGCGAGAGACTGCAAAGGTTTGAAATGGTGAATGGGACAGCACCCCATCACGTCACCTTGACGAACCCAATATATTTTTTGATTAGAGACTTTATTTTGTGTTCATGCCTTCTTCACAGCTGAGGCACTTCAGGGGTCAGTCCAGGATTTGAATGTCTTAAAGAGTGGACGAGAAGTTGTCAAATCAATTTAGCATCATTAAGCAAAATCAAAAGAAACAGTAAACCAAGTATGTAATATATCCTATATTTGCAATCCCCTGATTTCATTTGTTTATTAAGGATCATCTTAAATCCTTGAATCCTTAAAATAGCGTTGTAAATACCTATGTAAATATATTTAAATTTATTTCTATGTAAATTTAATGTGCCAGGTTAAAACACCCATATTAGTCATGTTCATTATTTTTAAAAACTCCCCCAGGCTTCCCCTGGCTTTCTTCCCCTATGTTTTAACGTCACTGTGCTATGAATTGTGGGTAATTCCTTCAGACAAAGTCTGCAGAAATGCAAACTTATGGAAACTCTGAATAAAGGGCTTAAAATATCTGGAAGAGAACCCTCATGCACTTTAAAAAATTGACAGTAGGGCAGTGCTAAGCTCTTATGCACTTTGCAGGAATGCCCCTCAAGGTACCTGAATATGGAGACTGGAATTGGGCTGTTCACTTTCTGCCATGTTCATTGCTGTTGTATGTAGCCATATTATAAATATGTCAAAGAGTGCTGTTTCAGTATTGTGCGTACAGGCTCAGGCTGAACTGGATTAGCAGACTTGTAGACTTGCGTGTGTCTGCAAGAGCTGAGGACTGTCCAAATCCATAATTCAGCCAGTCTACGAGGGGCCTCAGGCAGACTTTCTGCAGACTCCCAGAGAGTCAGATGGTTTAATTACACACAGTTCATTGCAATTTGGATATGACATATGACAAATTACAGACTAAAAAACAAAAGTTGTTACTGTGTAAAACAATTACTGTATTAAAACTTTACTTGAATCGTGTTGGCCAAAAATAATAAACGGCATTATGACACAGAAATATGTATTAATAATGCCAAATACGTAAGCTGATGACATAAAATCAGCAGTCACGGGTGTATGTTGTATCATTAGAGCAGCAGTAATATGAAATAAAACACCAGAAAAAGAATCCACAGAGTGATCAATACTGAGCAAACTGTCTGACAATAGTAACAGGAGTGAATGTAGCGAGCCCTGAAGCTGCCATATTCTTCAGTAGCACTTCATCACTATGTACAGAAACTATAGGATCACCAGTTAAGCAAGCATACAGGTTTGTACAGCAGCAAGTGAACCTTGGCTTTGACAGTGAGGGAAACATGTCAGCAGCCACCTACAGTGCTTAAGGTAAACTACGCTGATTTTGTAACACTGTTGAAGGTTATAATGTTTGTATCTTGATTGCTGTCAGTCCCTAGAACAGGCTTAACTGGAAAAAGTATCAATAAAAATGGTCTGTTTCTGTTTGCCAGCACTATTCTCACCATCCACTCCTTTTAACCGTGACCCAAAGTGTCACTTGTACCTTAAAAATAGAAATTTGGATGCTGTCATTTTGCACTGAAGGTGCTGTACAAACAAATGTTTGTATGTCATTTGCACGTGTTTACAAGCTCACGAATCAATTTAAATTTTGCATGCAACATATTTGCATGAGATGTGGGAGGTAATGAATGCTCTGCGGCAGCCTGGACGTTTGGGCAGCCCAACACTTTTGAGCGCTCTCTGGACATTATTAGCTTGTTAGAGCTCTGGCTTGTTCACAATCATTGTTAGGAAAGGACAGGTGATTCAAATTTCAAAGCTTTATAAATACTCTGACTCCTCAAACCTTGTCCCAACAATCAGCAGCTATGTGCCCCTCTAAACAGCTGTCTAGCACCATGAAAACTAAAATGACCGATGCCCACAAATCAGGACAAGGATATAAGAAGATAGGAAAGAGTTTTGAGGTGGCTGTTTCCTTAGTTCGTAATGTAATTAAGAAATAGCAATGTCAAGTTGAGGTTTGGAAGGCCAAGAAAAGTTTCAGAGAGAGCTCCTCGTAGGATTGTTAGAACAGCAAATCAAAACCTTTGTTTGACTGCAAAAGACCTGCGGGAAGATTTATGACCTTCATGGAAGAGTCATCAGAATAACACCTTGTACGTTTCCTCACCACAAGATTCAGCAGCAGACGTTTTCAAAGGAACATCCAAACAAGCCTGATGCTTTTTGGAAACAGGTCCCGTGGACGGATGAAGTTAAAATAGAACTTCTTGGATGCAATAAACAAAGGTATGTTTCACCTGTCCAACTGTTAAATGCGGAGGTGGATCGATCATGCTTTGGGCTTGTGTTGCAGCCAGTGGCACGGGGAACATTTCACAGGTAGAGGGAAGAATGGATTCAGTCAATTCCAGCAAATTCTGGAGGCAAACATCACAGCATCTGTAAAAAAAGGTGAAGATGAAGAGAGGATGGTTTCTACAACAGGACAATGATCCTCAACACACCTCAAGATCCACAATGGACTGCCTCAAGAGGCGCAAGCTGAAGGTTTGGACCTCAGAAGAGCAGTGCATGCAAGACAGGTCATGAATCTCCCTGAACTAGAAGCCTTTTACAATGAAGAATGGGTGAAAATACCGCAACAAGAACTGAAAGACTCTTAGCAGGATGCAAAGAGCTTTTAGAAGCTGTGATACTTCCCAAAAGGGTCGCTACTAACTACTGACCATGACGAGTGCCCAAACTTTTGCCTCAGGCCCTTTTCCTTTTTTTGTTATTTTGAAACTGTAAAAGGTTGAAATTAGAGAGTAGTCTTGCTTCAAATATTAGATGTGGCTTTTGGAAATCAGTTTGTCTTCTACTTACTTAACTTTTCACAGTAAAGGAAATTTTGATCAGGGGTGGCCAAACTTTTGCATGCCACTGTAAATGTACCAATGTGCTGTGATTTCTCTTTTGCAAATTGAGTTCTTTAGAGTTCTGCCATGTTTCATGTGGCGAAGAGGTGTCCACAAGGTAGAGAGAGGACATTAGTCAAATAACCAGGCATGCAAAGTGTCATGGATAAAATTACTCGCATGTTTTTGATCCGAACCAGGTGCGAGCTGCTGTGCACAGGAGAGACACCCATATCCAGCAGGTAAGTGTTTTCAGTTTTATTTTTTTGACATATCTGTTACGTAAACATGAGTTTATTTATCATTTAAAAACCAAAAAAAAATACATTTTATGTCAGAGTCAGTTTTGTTTATAAAGCCCTCGGTGAGGCATAGGATACCCTGTGTTTATAGCTCTAGCTCTAACTTTTTAATGAGGAAAAAATGGATGAAACCCCACTTTCACAGACTCATATACACATTTCAAAATCTAAAAATATAACCCCAAAAAAAGACAATTATATATACAGAAATGCAAGCTGTGTCCCATGTCTTCTTTGTAAGACTCCTCTGCTTTTTATTTTCAGGTAACTGATCGTCAGAAAACAAAGGGATAAATGGCCAACGATTCCTTGAGCTTCGAAGGGTTCATTTTTATTTTTACTGGCTCAGTGGACCACATGATCAGCATTCCCGTGAACTGCTGGGCTCTATGGCTGATTGTCTCTGGGAAGCAGAGTCTCATCGAAACTGAACTTTTAACTCTCAACCTGCTAAGCACGGAAATTGTGTGTTCTGTGTGTTTTTTTCTTTCAGTGCTCCGAATATTTTCTGACCCTCTTAAAGACTTTTATCAGGCTGTGGCTGTGGTGGAAAGAGCTCTGTTCCAGTGCCACATCTGTGTCGATCGCTACTTGGCAGTTGTTCATCCTGTGGTGTTCATCAGGTAACTAAAATTATAAAGACTTACATCTAGGAAGCGCATTAACCTTGTTAAAATGAGAAAGTTCAGTCACCAGAAGAAAATGTTGGGATTGTACATTTCTGAAAACCCTGAATATGTTACATTTGCATGTTTGATATGTATCATATCAACCTTTCTAAAGTGAAGTAGTATATGAGCTGACTTTGTCATCTGGAGGTGGATGGTGGATGGTTTGTCACCTAGGCGAGCCGTATGCCAAGTTGCAGACTACTGTGCCACACCAACAAGCCAACA